TTCTGTATGTGCCTGTCCCTAGTCAGGAGCCTGGAATTCAATGGTTGTCGTTTGTTGCTGTATCATAATTGTTTTTCGTTCATTATTTTGTACATAAATCAGGCCGTTATTTTTTTTGTTTGAATTGTTTTACATTTTTATAGCTGATTATGCGGTATGGGTTTTGCTCATTGTTGAACACGGTACGTTGACCTATAACTGTTAACTTCTATGCCATTTGGTCTCTGGTGGAGAGTTTTCTCATTGGCAATTATACACATCCTCTTATTTTTATATGTAGATTATTTTAATCGGGAGCGGATTATTCCTAAATGAAATGAAAATAAACAAAAGCGTTAAACATAAAACAAATGGTTTCAGTTAAGATATATAGTCAAATTTTCTTTCGCAAATACTGCGATACCATTTACAACAATTACAAATATAAATCTAAACGAAATATAAAGAAATATCTAGAAACATTTTTTTTTCCATCCTGAATGATTTGGATAAATAAACAAAATAGGAGGTGTAAAAGAACGTTTCAATAAATTGTAATAAGGAATTGGGGATGAGTTACGGATACAAACGGGTCAATAGCAAGATTCATGTTTTGGTAATAGAACCCAAAAAATATATTGGATTAAAAACAATATAGAGAGTACCCAATAGCATTATATGGTACAGATTCTGAGAAAGTTTCATTAAATCATGATGAGGGGTTAAGGGGGAGATGCAGGTACAAATGCATGTATTTTGTTTATTCTACATTGGCTAGAGGTATAGGGGAGAGTTGAGATCTCACAAAACATGTTTAACCCGCCGCATTTTTGAGCCTGTCCCAAGTCTAGCCTTTGTTAGTCTTGTATGTTTTTTAAATTTTATTTCATTTATATGTTCCGGAGTTTAGTGTGACGTCCATTTTCACTGAACTAGTACACATTTTTGTTTATGGACCAGCTGAAGCCCGCCTCCGACCCTTTGGTGGCCGCAGCATAATTTAAACTTGTAAATATTTACCCTTGCACTTTTATGAAGGTTGTACTTCTGCATGCAGTCTTGATTTCAGATCCAGGCTGCAGTTTTGATACTTTGTCTTCAAAAAATGATATCACAAGGCAAACAGAAGATTTCACAGATGTCCTTGGCCCGTTTTCATTCATTTCTTTGTAAGTTAACAAGGAAGATTCTGATTGGTCACAAAAGTGAAACCTTTTATGCATCGGTGTTAGATCCTCTTATGAAATCAGATGTCTATATTTTAATAAGATTGTTTTCCATGCAGAATAGCATTGTATAGTGCAAAAAATAAACGGCAAGTACTAATTTTGATATTTTCCTATTTCTTTTTTGTGGGGAATCACAGGCACTTGTCTCTGATTTTTCAATATATATCTTAATATAACATTAAGGTATATATAACTTTTTTTCAGAGACAAATGACTGTAGTGGAATGTATAAACACCGAAAAAAGAGGGATACTTACTCAATCATCTGCGTTTGTATCTGTTTATCGATCATTAGTTTTTTTTTACAAAAAGATATGTTATTCATTTACTTCTTCCTTGATCAGTTGTTTATTTCTTTGTGTTAAAAAAGTATGGTCACTTCCGCCTGTATCTGTTGCATTTATAGTAGGTCTCGGCAAGTGTATAAAAGAGTGTAAAACGTAGTAAAATTTAAACATTAAAGAACAAAAACATATTTTTCAAAAGATTTCTCTCATATTTTCAAAATAATCCTTAAAATTTATATTGAACAATCTTTTATCTGCCTTTTGTCATTAAAACCGACTTAAAACGAGAAGTGTTGAGATCTAGAAAAAAATAGATTAAGTATTGATCTAATTAAGTTAATGTACTGGTCCCTGGTCATGATAGTCCCAATGAATCAACCCATCAACGTTTTAAGCCTATAGGAAAAGGAGTAAGTTAAACAAGGCCAAAATATTATTAGTATATCGAGTTTAAAATTCAAATCAGTTGCAGGTAGTAAGAAATCATTCAGCCCGAAGACTGTCCATCGTTCAACTTATAAGACCGTCTCCGAGGAGACGGCAACTAGTTACAAAACTATTGATGAACGAACTTTGCCTAGAATATCAAGATAAGATGTGGTATAATTGCCAATGAGACAAATGTCCATCAGAAAGCAAATGACAAGGATATAAACTATAGGTCACCGTAAATACTTCATCAATGAACAAACCCCATACCGTATAGTAAACTTGTTATTACAGACCCTGACAAAACGTGAAATAGTTAAAAAAAAAAAAAAAAAAGAGAAAAAAAAAGAGAAAACCAACGGAACGATTTATGCTAAATCCAATAAACGAAAATCAAATATTGCAGACAGCAACAAACGACATCCATTAAATTATAGTCTCCTCAGTACTTGGGACAGGGACATAAAGACTGATGTGGCGAAATTAAGCATGCTTGTTAGCGATCAACTCTCCCTTTATCTGGGACAGTGGTGTAACATCACAATCCACACGAACAAAAGTTGGAAAGGACTTGACTCATTTGATCAACACGAAGCACTAAAATACTAACAAAAAACACATAGTATAATTGATGTAAAAGTATTCGGAGTTACTGAAAGATTTCAAAGCCAATTTCAACTAATAGCACTAACAGACATGTTTCCACCACGTAACCTACATATCAAGGTGCAGACATATGCCTATATATAGACAACGACATGCTAAACGAAATTGACAAGTAAGAGTCCATTTCTATACTAATTTGACAGAGAATATTAACCAGACCCATTGTAATGTCAAAATAAAATTTGCTGAAATGTGCATTTATATCCCAGTCCTAAATAGATACTTACTGGTTATTGTTTTTAGAATTCGTTGTTCCAAAATACCGATTGGACACTGACTGAGGCAGTAGAATAATGGCATTGTGTTAATCTTCTAATGACACACCAAATTAAATTGTGGTTTCATTTCTTCTTCTATAAAAAAAAAAGAAAGGAGCTAATAATATCATCATGTAATTCTGCCTTATTATTTCTCAAATAATCGGTGAACAAATTAATATAGTAAAACCCTTGCTAGAGTAGGGCGTCCATTTGGCAGTTCCTGTGACTCTTTTCACAAAAAAATCTTACGATTAAAATTGATCGTAAGTTATACTGAAATGTGTATGACTTACGAGTATTTTTACTCTTAAGATTTTTTGTGAAAAAAACCGCTGAAATGTGTATGACTTGCGAGTATTTTTACTCTTAAGATTTTTTGTGAAAAGAGTCGCTGATGTATAAATATTCAGCCACGTGCGGTCGGAAAGGGGACGTTAAATTTGGTGCTTCAAATAGATAAGGTACCACATTCTGTGCACGTTAGAGAAAAGCCAACCTTGCATCAACTAATTAAGGTTCCTGCATAACGGATTCTCTCTCAGTATCCGTAGGTAGCCTTTTGGAGTGCAAAATGTCTGCTCATATCCAGCATAGACTCATTTTCCAGGATCATTGGAATTACTACGGTGCCTTGACTGATTGAATAAGAAAATAATGAACAAATAAACTAACTTTTTCATTTTTTCGTTTTATTTTTACATTAAGGGTAGGTGGTGAAAATTTGTTTTTAAATACTTCCTCTCAGGCCCTTCCAGTAAAAGAATATGACCAATCCCTAAGCATAATAAAGAAAGAAGAAGAATGAAATGGAAAAAAAAATAATTTTATTTGATGATTATGTGATACGACTGAGTTGTTTATGAGAAAGAAACCCACCAAAGATAACTTGACAAACAAGTGTATTTCTTCAACCACCCTTATGCTTGGTTGAGATCGAGGCACACTTTTTTTCTGGTAAAAAAGTAGTAGCACTGTTACCTGTTACACTGTGTATAGAACATTTTTTAAAACAGCTAGACTAGTTTATGCCTAGTTATTTAAGTACAGTAAAATTCAAAGGTAAATTGAACATTTAATTTTTTTTAAAACAGAAAAGGGTTTTTTATACGACTTCGAATATTATTGACGACTTTTCGAACCAGACAATCACCCGAAAAGAACATTTGACCTAACAAATAATTTGAAATTTCAATATTTGTACTTGGTCATTGACGTGTATGTCGAACTATTTATATATCGTAAAGCGCATACAGGTATGCTATGTTATTGAGTGTCAAATATATGGACTATGTAACCTTTTGGATAACGAAAATTTGAAAATAAGCTGCAGTATTTACAATATCTAATAAAATGTTCCGTTACAACTTACTTAAATCTTTATTTGAAGTTCATCTTATTTCATACTCTATGAGCTTGTTTCATTTTTGTATTTTCCCTGAATAATCATATGGAGGATTATGGTAGAAGTCTTGCAGTGAACAGAAGCTGTCTGAAAATCATGGTAGTTATCTACGTGATCTATTCACAGCACTATCCCGGTCAATAAAACATTTAGCATACACTTACACCAGTCTTCCCAGAAGTTTTATATTCAATAATTAATGTAGACTCATTTAATGTAATGATTATAAAGAAGAAACTGTTTTGACGCTTCGTTTCCACGAGGCCGTATTTTAAAACTGCATAGTGAAAGTATTCTTGGTGGTCAAATATACACTGTTATAAAAAAAATATTTCAGTGTCACTGAACACGGACATGTGATAGTGCAAGCGAGCCAACTTTGAAGGTGTCCTATGGACACATATTCTTGTTTATGATTCATATACATGTTTATTCGTTCATTGTTGAAGACCCTACATCAACTGTCAAGATGAAGAACAGGAATAAAAGCCCTGTTCATTGATAATTTTCTATGTTTTCTATGTATTGTGTGCGATTTTGTCCCATGTACATTTACTCCATATCCTTTCATTTTCTATTTACTAGTCCATCTATCAATATTTTTACTGGTCCCTTAACACTGAACATAGTTTTTATATATTTGACATTATGTTTTCTGTTTATAAACAAATTTGATTGACAGAATGGCATTGGTTTATTATTTTATAAAGCACCGCGTCAAAATATGTTATCGTATTTGGTTAATGTAGTCAAATCATGACGATCTCGTATTTTTCGTTGTGTTATGCTTTTTTTGTTTGCAGTTTAGGGGTAAAGCTTGAATATTCAGAGACCGAAAAGGTTCTGAATTCTATCTTACCAAAATTACAACCCCAGGAATTACCCGACGGGGATGACGAATTTGGCGAGAAGAAACACCAGTATTTTACAAATTATGTCCAGAACCTTTATAAAGAAATATATTTGAGCGACAAAGATAAATCAGTGCATGTTTCAAATGATAGAACATTTACTGACGACCAGAAGGACTTAGCTAGTATTCATATTCTACAGGAAAACAATTGTAAGTAAAAGATATAACTTTTTTCATTATCCGAAGATCATAAATGACTTTTTTTTACTGTGAACTACTATCATCATAAACAATAACAAAATATAATATTTTACAGTAAAAAGGAACATGTGCATCAATATCTCCAGTTTCATTTATTGATTAAATATATTCCCATTTGCTATAATAATAATTTCTGTTAAAATACACACGTTGAAATTCTGTTATAAAGTAAAAAAGAACACCTTTTTGGAAAATTCAGAACTATCAAAGATTGAGAAATTGTCATTTGGTGTAGCCGTTTGCAAGGTTTGTGAATGGCGGTAGTCTGAATGATAATTAAAATAACCTCTAGATGACACTTTTTGTAAAAATTTTCGTTTCAAAAATGTTATTTTCTATAGTCTTAATAGCACTCTGAAATTTTATCTTAATGCAAGTTATCCCTCATCTTCGCTAGCCAAGGGTTACGATCCGCTTTTCTCTTCTCCACCCTTGGCAGATTGAGATAGAATTTCGGAGACACAAGAAAATGATTTTCATTGGTTGCAGTCGAAACTCGCTGCATCCAATCAAAAAGCGCCTATAACATGGTCACGTGTAAATGTAGAAAGTGTAATATGTAAACAATTGCCACGTGCTTATTGTGCAACAAGTCTTTACATCCCTAAACATACGACTAAATTTAGTGACAATTTGAATGTTTTTAATCAACTAATAGAAGTTCCTGTGTATGTTTCTTGCACAAATGCATGAATGTCAACGTATATTTTCGTTTCCTGCTTTACCAAGTGTGTAGAATCTAGACGCTACCGTGTTTTTACCTCCAAATTGAAGAGTTCAAGTGCTACCATTGGTCAAGAATAGTGTATTCGGAATGGGCGTGACTTTAATCTACCGATAGATGGCGAAACATTGTTATCACAAATGTTGGCTTAATCTGCCAAGGGTGGAGAGGAGAAAAGTGGATCGTAACCCTTGGCTAGCGAAGATGGTTATCCCTTAAATGTCTTAGTTCGTTTTTAAGAAAATATTCCTGTCAATTTACAAATAAAATTAGGTTTTTTGAAAATTTCTTAATGACTTACAGTCTCATTACTTCGATTATTCTGCTACATATACTACTGGTTTATAAAGCTAACACTTTTTGTTTCATAAATTAATAGAAGATTTCAAATAAACAATTACTATAATTGCTCTCCATTGCAGATTTCCGGTAATACTAGCCGTAAATTGGAAGTATTATTACTTTTACTTTCAAATACGACTTTCTTGAGATAGCTATAGGAAATCCTAAATTCGCTAAGCTCCCATTTCCAACTTTGAATAAAAAAATCATTAAAAAAAAAAAAAAAAAACCAAACAAAAACAAATCATGGAATTTGAATAGATCTAACAAAATTACAACGACATAAACAATTTCAGCATAATTATAGCGGGATATATCATTGATGTTTCAGTTAACCAGAAAAACCAGAAAAATCTTCAGTTTGACATTTCAAGTCTGCCACGGGATATTGACGTTTCTCTTGTTGAAATCGTGACGCAACAAAGCAATTCTCATAAGATGTCAAAGAAAATACCAGGTAATTATTTTTATTGATTACGTAAATTCTATTTTTTTCGACAACTCCTACCCTGAGAAAAGTGAGAAAATACTGAGAAGGCAATTAAAAAAACGAGTCGAAGAAAGAAACACAATGACAATGATAAAAAAATGAAAGACACTGATAAATAAAGATTGAGGAAAAAAGGTCAGCTGTCCCTGCTGCAATAAAAGTTCATATATATAGTACTGCTCATGTAATGAACCATCCGATTAAAAGTTGTGAATGCCACAATTTTTTTTTGTTACAAAATTTGGATAAAGTTTCACAGGAAAATATTTTCTCTCAAGTAGAAGGTTTTCTCAACCGAAAGAAAGTTATGACTTGAACACACACCAATATATCAAATAGTTTCTATAAATAAACTTATTTCTCTTTTGATTGTTAATTTCTTACTGTAATTGTGGTCAACACGAATTGCTGTTTATTTTTTTTTTACATGTATATTGTACACTAGTTTATGAAGGAAAGGCATTTGAGTCTTAGCAAATTACATCTGCTAGCGTCTCAACATACATACCAGCCTTTGTCATTTGATACAATTATTATAATCTTAAATTAAAAGTCTTAACCGTTTTTTCTTATCATTTTCAGGCGTTACTGAGGACTATAATATAAAAGACGTGACGAAAGATTTTCAAGTTTTCTACAGTTTAGGATCTTCTTTGTTTGAAGTGGGGCTTGATAAAGAAATTCGGAGGCATGCCGATATCAATGCACAATTAGTAATTTTTGAAAACGTCAACAAGACTCAACTGGCTTCACTTCGAGTACGACATAGAAGAGACATACGAGATTTCTTGACAGAACGGGATTTAGGTGTAAACACAACCGATTCGTTTTGTTCAGTAGAACCATGGATTGTAAATTTTAGTGAACTTGGTTGGGCACATTGGTTGTGGGCCCCTTCTTCATACCATGCAAATTCGTGTTCCGGCAGCTGCAGAATTCTCTACAACACTAATAATACAATTTCCGGTCATGCTATGATCAAACGGTATTCTAAAGCTCATTATTTGAAACAGGGGAGATCACCTGGACATTTGGACTTGTCCACTTATTGCGTACCAGCTTCATACGAAGCACTTACAATCATTTACCTAGCAAGGCAAAACATTATTACTGTGAGTCAGATTCCAAAAATGAAAGTAACGTCTTGTATGTGCGTTTAAAACTTTTCTGTTAATTTTGACAGTGATATTCCGAGAATGAACGAGCTTCATATTGGCTTTGATACGGTTTGTTTATATTTGATGTCATTTAGTTTTTTAAGGATGAGAAGTTGTTAAGAATTAAAAACAGCGCTTTTCTTGACAATCATATATTAGAATCTAATATCAAATATATAAATAGTTTCATTCGATATTTGATGATGAATAAAACAAATACAGAGATTTATACTGCAACTAGTTGTGTTTATTTCCTAAATATAGTTACAAATCTATATTTTATACACATGTCAATTTCATCATGGATCACTTTTTCCACAATATGGGGTTTATTTAGGGATGAAAATAAGTATTGTATTGTATTTCTGTATCAAAGTATGAATTAATGTTGCAGTATAAAAACAATATTAAGTCAATTTCATAAAAATATAAACTTTTTTTGTATTCGGCACAAAACTGGGGAAGGGCTCGGTTAAACCTCGCCCATCCCCAGTTTCTCAGCCTCATAAAAAAAACTTTATATTTTTCTGACATTGACCTAATATTGTATATATAAATAAGAAGATGTGGTATGAGTGCCAATGAAACAACTATCCGTCCAAGTCACAATGTGTAAAAAGTAAACAATTATAGGTCAAAGTACGGCCTTCAACACGGAGCCTTGGCTCACACCGAACAGCAAGATATAAAGGGCCACAAAAAGACTAGTGTGAAACAATTCAAACAGAAAAACCAACGGTCTAATCTATATAAAAAACCGAGAAACGAGAAACACTTATGAACCACACCAACAGACGACAACCACTGAACAAAGGCTCCTGCGGCTCTTTTCACAAAAAATCTTAAGAGTAAAAATACTCGTAAGTCATACACATTTCAGTATAACTTACCATCAATTTTAGTCGTAAGATTTTTTGTGAAAAGAGTCGCTGAATTAGGACAGGTGCATAAAAATGCAGCGGGTTTAAACGTTTTAACAGGCGCCAACCTTCACCCTAACCTGAAACAGTGGTATAATATTACAACATAAAAAGACACACACTAAAATATCAATTGAAATGGCTTAACTCGATAAAAAAGACAATACACAAAAACAAGTAAATATACACTGAACGAATAAATTTGATCTATGACACAATATAAATAAAAAAGATGTTTCAATGTAAAAAAGACAACTTTAGCCTAGGACAAAATGGCGTTAAATAAAGTAACGTACACAGGTAAATTTAAATATAATAATTTTGTTGTTAGGAGTACAGAAACATTTTTTTACAAAATAAATTTGTTATTCAAAGTACGATCGCGAGTACAGAAGTGAAATTTTGTTTCGTCATACTAAATACTTATCAAAGGTGGTACATATTAAAAATAGTAAGACGAGATATAACACAAAATAAGTAAACATTGAATAACAGAAATGCATTACAAATTGTGTCAACAGGTCAAATTAACACGAACGTACGATTTGAGAGTACTCGCAGTTACTGAAAGCTATTTTAAAGCCAAAAACAATAATAATAAAAAATCATGTATCAGAGACTAAAATCAATTAAAACACATCCCAGGCAGGGATTTAGTGTTTTAACGCCATGGACAGTCAAAGAAGAAATGACTTGTGCAATGTCAAAATAAAAGTAACGACAGGCAGTAGGATAGTTAGGATTTAACCTTATAATAAATATGGATGATGTTATGTAAAGATAAAACGATTTCTAAATAGAAAATAAACGTGGATGTGTATATATACATCCCCCCAAAAAAAAAATTAAAAAGAATACAAATTTAGTTATGTTTTAATTTGTTGATGACAAAATCGATGTTAGTGCCAATGAAAACAATATTCAAAGATCTTATTACAACATTAATAAGATAACCGTTACTAATAAGTTTGTTTAAAGGTTATGTTTATATCGACATAGAACTCTTCTTTTTATTTATTTTTTGAAAGAAACTGGCAGTGAAATGATTAAACAGTCAGAGCTGAATATTCAAACATTTTAGAAAATATAATACTGATGTCAATTGATACTGTACATATAAAAATAGATAGAATATAAAAAGGTCGTCAGCGTGGTTTATTCGAATTGGGCGACCTATTTAAAGATTTTTGAAAACATTGGTCTCTCCCTGTGGGAAACGATAACTTACAAAGACTGTAGAATCCGGTTGCCCATAGTTCAAGCCTCTATATTGTCAATATCGCCATGGAACTTTTTTTCAGTGTTATAAATATGATTATGCCTCTTGTTAAACATGTATATATATATATATATATGTGTCTGAGTGTTTTTTAATAAAGCATTATGTTCTATGTTATGTTAAGTGACCAGCGACAAATATCACATATCCAACTAAGTCAGACATCACGTAACTTTTGGTGACGTATACTAGCCGCCATTTTGTATTATATTGCCCCATATAAAATGCATAGGTGCTTCAATAAAGTTGAGTTTTCTCATGAACCTGACCAGTTTTCTAACTTTTGTAAATCAATCCTTGATATTCAAACATATTTCTATCAAACAATGTTGGTCCTAACAGTTTAATTTTTGATTAAATTCTGTCACTGGAGAATCGTAAAAACATGTACTTTTTCTCGTTATTTCTCCGTTGACTCAATGCTAAATTACCGATACCCATGTCTACTTGTATAACAAATAAAGAAATTCCGTTAATAAAAATAAAACTTTGCAACTCGATTAAGTATATTCAAACATATATCTGGCGAAAAATACTATTTAAACAGTTTAATTTCTGGGCAATTTCGGTCAAAAATCGATTTAAAAAAGTGAATATTTCGGGATTTTTCAAAATGGCGGATGATGTATATGGAAATGTTGCATCAAATCGAGGATTTGTATAGTAAGACTTTCCTTGATTTTTTTTCTTTGGTGATATTTCGATATGATTGATTTCAAAATTTATTGATTAAAAAAATATTATTTTAAGTGTGACACGGGAAAATTTTATTTTGACAGATATCAAGGATATACTGTTACCAGAAAATAGTTAACAATAAAATTTATAATAAAATTTTTTCTCTTCTTTTTTTAAAAGGTTTTTTTCCTGTTTTCTGTATAATTTATCTTTCTTTAGAAATATATTTATACATTCCTTTTAGAAAAAAAAAGTATTTACGTCCCAAGAGAGAAAAAAATCCCAACAATTATTATAGATATAGTGCACTAAGGACTCCTTAGCAGTGTTTAGACGCACCCAATATTCCATACCTTCAAAATCCCATCACTTGACGAACAGGTGAACTCTGACTTTGGATGTAATGTTACATAACAATATATTGTCAGGTAGACGTGCAAACCAAAAGCAACCAGGTGACATTAAACATCCTGTGTATACATGTATTACCAGAGTTTAAATTTTGTGATATACAAAAGTTTTCATAACTGTACAAATAAATATCTTCTCTTCCCCGTGTCAAACCAGAAGAAGTATGTATCATAATAAACTTAAAGAAAATATGATTATTATAAAAAAAAATCTTTAAAAAATAATTTTTGCTTTAAAAGATAATCAAACTAATATTTATGTTTCTATAATTATTTTAAAGAAATATTTTGATTCAAATTTTAATTTAAAAGGATTTTGTATTATTTCGTAAAAAATTAAACGAGATTTCATTGAATATGATTTTATTATTTATTTTTTTAATTCAATATTTTAAACAAAATCCAGGCATTCAATAAATCGATATAAAGTTAAACTTGTGTAAAAAAAATTGTTATTGTATGCATTTCAACAGAGACATATAATACAATTGCTCTGATTTCAGCAACATTGTATACCCGACAATATTTATCGACAGAGTTATCGGTCCTGAATAGGACTGATATAGTTGGGTATAGTGAAAAGTGTAATATTAAATCGTTGAACATAATGAGAGATACAAACAGAAAAGATTTGGGAATAATTTACTATTTTGGCATTGACATGACTAATGGGCATAATTCAATAAATATTTATAAGAAAAATGTGATAGCGATAAACTTTGAATTATAGAAATTCATAAATAACTGCGTTTTTCTGACGTTATATCTCCATAAGCTTGGAAATGTTATTGTAGGTCAAAAATATGATCCTGAGTCCGATTGCATTTGATATGACATTAATTATTGAGAGTGTTTAACTTAAAATTCAATTTGGCTTTCAAATCGGGGACTTGCTGAACAAAATCCTCCTCTGCTATGTAAAATTATTGTTCTGTAGATTTACGACATGAGCAGTGCTATTTTCATATTACCGACTTTTGACTCCGGATTATATAATTTTTCGACAGGTTACCTTTTCTGTGGTAGGACATTCTGGTACTCGGTCAGGTACGAGCAACCAAAATAAGTAAAATTAAACATATAATCGGTGTAATTTGAGGGGAAAGTTTACTGTTTTCCGATAATTTTTGTCGTGTAAAGAAAATATGAAGCAGTTAATTTCGCCCAAAAATTGTACCGATTGAAAGTTTGATTTGATTTTTTTACTTTGCTCTTACTTGACTTGGTACCAGGATGTTCTACCACAGAGTAGGTAACCTGTCGAAAAAATATAAACTTCGGAGTCAAAAGTCGTTAATATGAAAATAGTCTACGACAAGTTTGAGCTTTCTAAAAAGCTATGGACTGCTTCCCTCTATACTACTTTAAGGTAATATTTGTGTATGTGGTTGTTGATTTAGTATTAGAAATGTGGTATTTTTAGATATTGATTGATATAAAATGGATGTCTTAGACTTGGAATATCAATTTGTTCACTTTACTTGTTGAAAATTAAAACATTTACAAATAGACACGACTCTGGAGGTGTGCCTAGATTGGCAGAAGTTATAAAATACAGATAATGCATTTTTGTAAACATTGTATAGGAATATTGTTAAGCAAAACAAATCGTGCATATTGCAGATTAACAAAGCAAATAAACACTTATTAATAATTGATATTTCAATATTGAATTTCAGTGTGCAAAAAATGCATAATAAAACGAACATGAATTAATGACAGTTGATCGGAACTGAAATACACATAGTTAATTTTCCGGCATTTGATGTCTCAGTTATCCTGAGACGAGAAAAGTCTGTAATTCTTTATCTCATTTAAGCCAATAGCTGTTGCTGTATCTCAGCCGCATCATATAGCAACCAATCATAATCTATATGTGATAAGTAATTGTTTCAAGATGTCGTGTGTATCGACTGAAACTAATAGCTCCGCACCGCGATGCGAAG